AAAAAAAAAAAAAAAAAAAAAATCCCTTTATCCGTTGTTTCCAGGGACACGTCTTTGCCTATTCTTTTCCCCCTGTATCTGCCTGTCTCTTTTTTCTTGCGCTGGTCCATAAATGAGGGCCTTTGGGTGCACATTCATAGCTCTCCTTAGTCTACGCAGTCACCTCGGGTTATCTCGCCCTACGTGTGGTTTCAGCTACCACTGAAATCCTGGATGCAGGGGAGATGGTACCACTGCCTTTAACACTCATCAACTTCAACAAAGATGATTCACATGCTGGAGACCCCCTCTGCCCGTGTCAAAGTCAAACACATCACGCGGCACACATGCAGCCTTTCCTGCACCGCCCCAACTCTGCCCCCACCCTACCTTTCTCCTCTCATCATTTCCGTTGAGATGCTACCAGTCGCCCAGCTCCCCAAACCCAGAACCGGAAAGTTGCGTTGGGCTCCTCCTCGATGTCCCAGTCCACTCGGTACCAGGAGCTGTCAGTGCTGCCTCCTTTATCGTTTGGGTTTGGTCACTTCTCTCTGTGGACATGGGGAATCTCTTGCCTAGATCACTGTAGTAGCTCTCTCCCGGCCATCTTGCCTCTAATTTGGTCCCATGCACTGCTTTCTCCACCCGACTCACAGCACACGTGCACACATGCTGGTGTGTTTTTCAAGCTGCCAGGTCTGGGACTTAAACCGTGTAGCCAGCCATGTGGGATTCAACTGCTTTAACCACCACACCACTGGCTGGCCCATCAACTTTTTAAATCTAAAATGCAGGGGATGACATTATCAGATTTGAGTATTTATACTTTTTTTTTTTTTTTTTTTCAATTTTTGCCAGAAGGGCATGTGTGCTTCCCAGAGGAAGCGGGGGTGGGGTGGGGGTGGAGAAAGCACCCCCGAGGGAATGGTAACACTGGAATCCCTTTTCCTCCACTTTTTCCTCCTTTTAGGATTTTGGGTCCACATGCATATGTGTCCTGCATGTTCTTCAAGTTGCTGGGTCTCGGACTCTACTGCTCCGTCAGTCATGAGGGATCCAGCCAGCTAACCACCATGCCGCCGGCTGGCCCAGACTTTTTCTTTGACTTTCAGAATAAACTTCGTTTCTCAACAAGACCGTCAAAGCTCTCTATTTTTATTTTATTGTTTTTTAATTGCCAGAGGGTGTACGTATTTGAGAGAGAGAGAGAAGGAGAGAGAAACTCCTCCCATTGGGGTATGTCAGGTTACAATCCTTTTCCTCCACTCCTCCCTCCCATCGGGATTTGGGGCACACATGCACACGTGCCCAGTATGTTTTTCCGGCTGCTGGGGCCAGGACTCGAATCACAGCAGGCCATGTGAGATCCAGCTCTCTTAACCTCTTCTATGAGGCTAGCCTTCAGAGCTTTCTGGAATACTGTTTCTGCCTGCCTTTGAACCCATTTCTTTTTTTTTTTTTCTTTTTTCTTCCTTTTTTTTGGGGAGAGGTTTTTGCTATAGGGTGCACCAGACAGACAGAAAGAGACAGACAGAAAGCAAGGAATCACCCCCCAGGGGGGATGGCCACGCTGCAATCCCTTCTCCTCCATTCTCCTCTCGGGATCTTGGGCACGCACGCACACACGCCCAGCATGAGTTTTAAGCCACCGGGTCTGGGACGCGAATGGTGGTCCACTACATGGTAGTCCAGTGACATAGCCGTTACGCTAACTGCTGGTCCCTGAACCCGTTTCTTGACACTCCAATCTTGCTCTCAGTTGCATTAAACTTTTGTGGTTTACTAAACACACCATGCCTCGCTGATTTTTTTCTCCTTAGCATTTGATAGTCAGCCCCCAAATCACCTCCTCCAGTAAGCCTTCCGTGATCCCATTGGCTGGATTAGATGTTTCTCCTTAGTGCTCCTATATTCACTTGTGAATATTTCTGTGACTTTACTTTTTTTTTTTTTTTAATTGCCAGAGTGTGCATGCCCTCATCAGAAAGAGAGAGAGGGAGAAAGCACCTCCCCAATAATTCAGTCATGTTGTGATCCCTTCTTGCCCACTTCTTCATTTTGTCAAAATTTTGGGCATGCGTGCATATGTACATGGCCTATTTTTTCAGGCTGCTGGGGCCGGGATTCGAACTATGTGAAATCTGAGTCTTTAAACCACTGGGTTATAGGACTGATCCTGTCACTTTACTTTCAATGTTGATTTATGATTATTCCTGTGTCTGTCTTCACTGCTTGGGATGTTTTTGTCGAGGGTAAGAAGTGTTGAAGTCTCTGCATCTAGCATATGGTAGGACCTTAGTGAATGTTTGTTGAATGAATGAATGAATGAATTGCCCAAGGTTACACTGCAAATAAGTTCTGAAACTAGAATCTAAATATATTCATTCTAAAACCCATATTATTGCACCTTTTTTTTTTTTTTTTTTTTTGCACACTGGGGTGTTTAGCGTTAAGAAGCTTAATTTTTAAAAGACCAAACTCTATCATAAGGTTTTACTTCCATTTTAAAATAAATTTTAATGTATCAGTAGTGCATTCATGTGGTTCCACTTTAAATAGTATTCTAAAAAGATATTGGGATCAGCAGTTAGCGTAATAGCTGTGTTGCTGGACTCCCATGTAGTCAACCGCGGTTTGCTTCCCGGACCCGGTGGCTTAAAACTCACCCCGGGCGCGTGTGCGTGCGTGCCCAAGATCCCGAGAGGAGAATGGAGGAGAAGGGATTGCGGCGTGGACCATCCCCCCCTGGAGGGTGATTTCTCGCTTTCTGTCTCTATGTCTCTCTCTGTCTGGCTGGCGAGCACACGCGCCCTGTAGCGAAAAACCTCTAAAAAAAAAAAAATAATAATAAAAAAGAAGCTTAATTTTTAAAAGACCAAACTCTATCATAAGGTTTTACTTCCATTTTAAAATAAATTTTAATGTATCAGTAGTGCATTCATGTGGTTCCACTTTAAATAGTATTCTAAAAAGATATTGGGATCAGCAGTTAGCGTAATAGCTGTGTTGCTGGACTCCCATGTAGTCAACCGCGGTTTGCTTCCCGGACCCGGTGGCTTAAAACTCACCCCGGGCGCGTGTGCGTGCGTGCCCAAGATCCCGAGAGGAGAATGGAGGAGAAGGGATTGCGGCGTGGACCATCCCCCCCTGGAGGGTGATTTCTCGCTTTCTGTCTCTATGTCTCTCTCTGTCTGGCTGGCGAGCACACGCGCCCTGTAGCGAAAAACCTCTACAAAAAAAAAAATAATAATAAAAAAGAAGCTTAATTTTTAAAAGACCAAACTCTATCATAAGGTTTTACTTCCATTTTAAAATAAATTTTAATGTATCAATAGTGCATTCATGTGGTTCCACTTTAAATAGTATTCTAAAAGATATTGGGACCAGCAGTTAGTGTAATGGCTATGTCTCTGGACTCCCATGTAGTCGACCACAGTTTGAGTCCTGGACCCAGTGGCTTAAACTCACGTCGGATGCGTGTACGTGTGTACCCAAGATCCTGAGAGTAGAATGGAGAAGAAGGGATTGCGGCATGGCCATCCCCCCTGGGGGGTGATTTCTCGCTTTCTATCTTTCTGTCTCTCTCTTTCTGGTGAGCATACATACCCTATAGCAAAAACCTCTCCAAAATAAATAAATAAATAAATAGATAAAAATAAAAGATATCTAATAAAGGTCACGTTCCTAAGCCAGTGGTGGTGTGGCTATTAAGGCAGCTGGATCCCACATGGCCAACTGTGCTGCTTAAGTCTGAGACCCAGTGGCTTGTAAACCATGCTGGGCACGTTAGCTTACGTGCCTAAATACCTCAAGAGAAGGGACTGGCATGGCCACCACCCTGGGAGGTTCTCTCTCTTCCCTTCCCGCCCTCCAGCAAGCACATGCACCCTATAGCAAATAAGAAAACAACTGGATGGTGGTGATCACTGGACAGCTCTACAAACTTAATTAAAAAAAAATCACTTGATTAATAAAAAAAGACATATTCCCATTTTTCTCCTCCATCTTTCCAATTTTACTCCTTCTGCTACAAGGTAACCAGTCTTGTTAGTTTCTTCTATCTTCTCCCAGATTTTCTTTTTGTGAATGCATGCAAATATGGAATTAAGTGTCTTTCTTTGCCTAGCAATATTTAAAAAGGTTATGATTAAAAAAAACTTTTAAACAATTTCTGAAGTGGGTAGTTATTAGCAAAAAGAGGTAATCCTTATCCAGCTTGAATGGACTCACAGAGGCAGACTGGGAAGAGGGCAGCTTTTAGATGCTATTCCTGTCATTGGCCTCTAGGAATACCTGGGGTTGCCCAGGACAGAGCCTGTGGGCTATGCACCATTCCTAGGCAGATGATCAAGCTCTCCAGAGTTACCTTTTCTCAGGAAGTCTCATAGGCCACTCCCCCTGATGCAATATCTGGGTTTGGTCAGAAAGGAGGGTGCTGCAGAGCCCGCCCCTTCTGAGCTGTCTGGTCAGCTCTTCTTTCCAGAAGAAATCAGGTTCCACTGCTGTTCAGACCTCAGCTCCAACATCTTCGTCTGAAGCAAGATGAATGAGATGGACAGAATGCTTTATTCTGGCAGGAAACAATGTTCCGGATCACACTGAGTCTTCAGACACAGACCGTCACGATGGTTCTAGAAGAAATCTGGACAAATCTTATCAAGTGGTTCTTCTACATCTCAATCCCATGTTTGCTCACAGGTACGTATGAAGTAGAATACACCCAACAGCTTGGACCTTAAAGGTAGGTTGAGAAGGTGACAAATACTTTCTTAGGGTTTGGGGTTGAAATAAATGTATAAAATAGCTTGTCTGTTTCAAAAAGCATTTCTCACCTCCTAAACCTCCATCCCTACGTCCCAAAGAAAAGAAAAGGCCTACATTCTATTTGGATATCTCCTGACATCCACGGAATAATCAAGAAAGAGAACTCATCAAAATTAATACTCGAAAGGTTAGCAGTGCCGCTGTGCATTTGGGTATTTATCTCATTATCTAATTTTAAAGGGTGCAGCCTAGTTTGCCCAGTCTTTGTGTGTGCGCCTTGGAGATGTTAAGTAAGGAAAGATTAAAGTAAAACAATGAACGAGTCTATCAAAATACATATGAATACAGAGATACAATTTGTGAGCTTAATAGTGGGTACAAGACAAAAATTCTGATCATTATAGAAAAGGAACCCTATAGCATTTAAAAAGCCATTTTAGCACAGGGCATGGTCCTTGCCAGTAAGATTACATAATTTTCTCTAATCCCTTCTGGCGGCTTGTATCTACCTGCTTTATCATTCCCAAACTGCAGCTCGTTAGCCTTTGATGTTTCCTTACCTCAAGTCACATGAAGAGAAACTTTTGTTTGCAGTGCTGATGGGAGCCTGGAGGACCTTGTCTTATTTCTTTTACACAGAACCAATTATTCTACTTAGTTTGAATGAGGCAACAAATCATGGCTTAAGGCAATTTGCAAAGTTTTAAAACCAGCTTAAACATCTAATTTATGTTGTTTCTCCCTCACTCAGAAACCTTCACTCCCAGCTGCTCAGCACACGATGTTCAAATTCTGTTTCTCATGACCCAGCAGATTCAGGCCCCACCCTGTGTTTTAATTCCACCCTAGTACTCACCACTCCTGGAAAACAACTCCGCGCTGCAGGCAGCTGCTGTCTTGTGGCAGGTTGTACCTTCATTTCTTCTTCCTGGTCTCTTACATACTTTTCCACCAGAAGCACCATCTCCAGTTTCTCTGCTCAGCCCAAGCCATCACCGTTGCAGATGGGTCCCTTCTCTCTCTCTCTCTTTTTGTTGTTGGCAGTGATTTTATTAAGATTTTCTTTTCAGTATTCATCTACTTCATTATTTCAGTGTTAAAATGGCCCATGGAAACTCTTACTATGAAATCACTAAGCACTGACAAAAAAGCATGGTGACTTCTGTTCGTTATTTATGAAGTGGTCATTTCTTAGCTTTTCCCTGAAGTTTAAATTTTAAAAAATATTCTTTCCTAATTAGTTATTATTCTCTAGAACTTTCATAACACTTTTTCAGAGATTGTCTTAGAAGATTTGTGAAATAAGAATTTCTTCATCCCCAAGTTGGCATATTTTTACAAGAAGTCACTTTTTCTTCTGTATTGTTTACCTTCTTTTTCACTCATGTTCCTGTCTTCTTTTCAGGTCATTCTGTCTTCTGCCCAATGTTTTTGGCCTTTAAAGCTCTTTTTAGACAAAGCAGGTTCTTATTTTTGTTTTGTTTTTGGAGAGGTGTTTACTATAGAGCACATGCACTCGCCAGAAAGCCAGAAAGCAAGAAATCACCCCCCCCAGGGAGGATGGCCACGCCGCAATCCTTTCTCCTCCATTCTCCTCTCGGGATCTTGGGTATGCACGCACATGTGCTCACCATAAGTTTAAGGCACCGGGTCCAAGACTAGAACCGTGGTCAACTACATGGGAGTCCAGCGACATAGCCATTACACCAGTTGTTGGTCCCAACAAAGCCGGTTCTTTAGTATTATTCTCTTATCCTAAATAGGCATTCATCTTCTTGGAAACTGGGAATTCAGAACTTACTATTTAAACAACTATTGTTTACCATGTCGCATTCATCAGGATCAAGATTTATTGGCTCATCTTCTGCTACTGGCTCTTCAAGAGGAGAAAGGGATCCATCATTATCCAAATATTTCTACCTACCACTATCAAGACCTCCTTTATCTAAATCTTCACCACCATTCATTTTATTCAAAGATTCCTGAAGGTGGTGTTCATTCTTCAGCTTTTCAATGTAGTTAAAAAATCTTCGGGCAACAACTTGCTCAAAGGTTTTCCGCCATGGTAATGGATGTCTTCCACTCTCTGATTCTATAAATGGTAACTTACATCCTTTGCCTCGAACACGTTTCTTATCTATTTGTGACCTGGTATTTCTCCTTCCTTTGGGTCTTCCCCCTTGGTCTTCCTGTTGTCTTGTATTTCCTTTTGTTTGTTTGCTTGTTTCTTTTTCTTGATTCTTTCAAAAATAGCTTTTACAGTCAATGGTTTTGGTTCAAAAGATGAGTCACTTTGATGAATCTTCTTTAACACTCTCAGGTGAACAAACACATTTTTGAATTGGGTTCCTTTGCCTTTGTTTAGGTGAGGAAGAAACACATTGCTTTACATAAGCTGCTACGAGACCAAGAGTTATCACTTTGATTTTCAGATTCTACAGTTGAATCCCATGTCTTGTAGTCAGGTGGATCCACTCCTGAGGTAGTCTTCGAATCCCTCCTAAGACTGTTTTATGCATCACTTTCTCTTTGCTTTAGTTTTCTCTGCCAACCACTCCAGAGGAGACTTCCTCTTTTTTTTTTTTTTTTTTACGGGATTTTTTTTTTTACTACAGTTGAGTATGCTCTCTGGAGAGACAGAGAGTCAGAGACAGAAAGCAAGAAATCACCCCTGCCCACTGCCAGGATGGGTGGCCATCCCTTCTTCTCCATTCTCCTCTTGGGATTTTGGGCACATACACACATATGCCCAGCGTGAGTTTTAAGCCACTGGGTCCAGGACTCGAACCGTGGTGGACTACGTGGGAGTCCAGTGACATAACCATTACGCCATCTGCTGTCCCCCGAGTCCCTCTTCTTACAGACTCTGCAAACTCTCTCTCCTTCAACACTTGATCTCAAATGCTCTAGCTTTGGTGGGCTACTTCTCTATGCAGCACTGGCTTGAAGGCAGGGCCTTGGTATCTTTCCTGGTGCCCCCATATCCCCTCGCACACGGAAAGCATGCTGGTTATTTGGTTAGTTGGTTGATTAGTGTTGAGATAAAAAAGTTGTCAGGGAATCAGATCCCTTCTCCGCTAAGCAAAAGGAGAATAAGAGGAAAGGCATTTTCAAACTTGACATTTTGTTCCACGAGTCTAGTCTTTTCAATATTTTGAGAACTTCTGTTTCAAATAGACCTGAAGGTGAGTGTGGTCCTCTGACACTTAGAAACTTTCAGAAGAAAAAAAAAGAGAGAGAGAAAGAGAAAAGGAAAACAAAACAACTGGTAGAAACCACAGGCTGTCAGAGCGGAAAGACCTGTGTGAGAACGTTGGCTCTACCACCTGCTAGCTCAGTGACTAGATGGTACACTTTCAGTTTTCTAATCTGTGAAATAGCCTAAATAGCCCCCTTGAGAATGTGAGGGGTTAAATAAAATGATGGAAAGAAAATGACCGAAGATTTTGGTGTGCTGTCCCCGCAAAAATGTTAATTATTATCTGTTGGTGCCAGTAAATAACTGTTTTTGCTTAGGTTGCTTTTATGCAGTTTTGATCTTTTTTTTTTTTTTTTTTTAGGTTTTTTTTTTTTTTTTTTTTTTTTTTTTTT